GATATCGCAGTCCAACACTACTGGCCATAGATTTGCCGCTAATATCGCTAATAAGGTATTGAATTCATTATTAATTTTAATTAATTGATTGTTATTTATAATTAGATTATTTAAAGACCTAGGTCAGGGACCCACATAATCATTATACTGTAATAATATTGTGCATATAATGAATGCATTTATTTTATTATTTAAATTCACGAAATGTTGATGAACTACTATTTTTGGCACTTATTATCAGTATTGCAATTAAAGTTTGTAATAAAAAAGTTTCAATCAAGATAAATGTTGTTTACCCTGTTGTGTAGTGAAAGTGTGCATAGAATCGTATGATTATAACATGATGGTTTATTTAACAGATGGATAAACCCTTTTAATTTTGGCTTTTTATTTGACATTGCTGAATAAATATTTTTATTGTTATTATTATTAATGATTGATTAATTCGTATATGAGTTGCAAAACATAGCATTTCAATGGGAAATAGTTTTGTTATTTCTTTTAATACTTGCCTTCATTTGAAGTATAGATTAAAACAATTATTACAAAATATTAAACAATTTATTTCTCATTTTTTGCCCAAAATTAGACACAATTGACAACCAGTTATGGCTCACCGAAAATCCAGGCCAACAATAAGATCATTTTGCCGAAGAATATTGTCCTCAGACACTGTTCGCCGAGCACTTCGTACGCCCTCTCGTTGGACACCGGGTTCTCGGAGTCGATGCCAATGACGACAACCCGACGGCCACTCACTATCATCTTCTCGTGGATGTTAGCGAAGGACAAACACGTAGAGAAATACAGACAATTGTGGTATAAGAGAGGCTTTGATGTGTTGACAGTGAGGACATCACCTTTTGATCTGTTGGTGCCTCCGCTCGGCGGTCAAGTGGTGGCCAAGAATTTAGCCCAAACTTTGTCACAACTGAACGCTCAGTACAACGAGATAGTGATCCACGCATTCTCCGTCGGCGGCTATCAGTTTGGTCTGACTCTGAATGAGTTAATCCAATCGCAACAGAATCAGCACATCTTGGACTCAATTAAAGGCATTGTAATCGATTCCATGGTATTCACCGAAGACTGCGCGCCCGGACTGTCTCGAGCGGTCACTTTGAATCCAGTGGTGCAGCCGATGATTGAGTCCACGATTCATGTCTTTCTTAAGCTGTTTAAAAATACTGTCAAATATTACGACACGGCTTACTATATGATCGCTAATCCGGTCG